TCCATTTCATGATCATATGGCTCAAGTAAGTTCCCACCTTATCTCCTCCACTCCCAATTTGGCTGAAGAAGACAAAGTTGTGATCTTCCATTATGAACTGAATATTTGCATACATAACACCCAGCTTTATAAGCTGAGGCCTAATCTCCAATCTGGTGGTTTCAGGCGGGTCATTGAGGCAGTGACTGGGTCTTAAGGATGCCCCCCCCCATGAATGAGATTAATGCTCTTATAAGAGATCCAAAGAGATCCCTTGCACCCTCCACCATGTGAGGACACTATACGCAGTCGGCCCTCTATGAACCAGGAAGCAGGCATCCACCAGACATCAAATTTACCACTGAATTAGTCTTGGATTTCCAGGTTCCCAAATGGTACAAAATAAATTTTGTTGTTGATGAGCCCCCCAAGTTGAAGGTACTTAATTATGGCAACCTGAACTAAGACCTACCCCATGAGTTCTGCCTTTTCGGTGTGTTCAAACGTCCTTGCTCACCCTCAAGAACAAAGTGCATGACTTTCCATGTCTCTGTCCCATTCGTCCCAGACAGAATCTGGCATGCAGGAGCTACTTGGTGTCCAGGAAAGACATGATGTCTCTTTACTTAGATTCTGCCTGCTCTTCACTACCACCCCAAGCAGGTACACATAAAGCAAATGCACCTGGGGCTTCACAGTCACAGGCCTAGGGGCTTCTAGAGCAAGGGAAGGATGCTCAGTACCTTTCCTATGGGGGCTGGCAGGGCACGACTTTTCTTCCCTGTCACCTCCGTTCCCTCTTCAGTATAGGCTATTAAGACTGCTGCTGCTTCTTCCTCTGTGTGTGTGTGTGTGTGTGTGTGTGTGTGTGTGTACACATTTTTTAATGTGTTGCTGAGGATCAAAGCCAGTGCCTCACATGTGCTAGCACCATGTAAAAGTAAATAAAATAAAGGTATTGGTCCATCTTAAACTAAAAAAAAAAAAAAAAAAAGTGTGGGGGTTTTAAAAAATAATAAGTTAAGGTCAGGCTTTCATTCCCTGTTTGTCTCCTTCTACCTGTCCTCATTTCTTCTCTCCTGCCTCCGAAGGCCCACTCATTATTCTCTCGTTGAATGACTGCTCAGCCACTAGGCTTGGCACAGCAGAAGGGGGGGACTTTGGAGGGGAAAACCACGGTGTGGGACGGTTGGGAAGAGAAGGTGCAGAAGTTGCCTCCCGCCTGTGACCACTGGCTGGTTGGGTCAGCAGAGGTGGGTGGAAGAATCCAGGCAAAGGTCAAGAACGGAGCTGCAGTGCAGCCCAGGTGGGGGAGGCGGCTGGATCTGGCCTAATCTTCTCCTCAAGGACTCCCCGGGCCACGGAGTTGCTGGGGCCTGAGTCCCTCAATAGCAGGAGCCTGTTGTCGCCGCCACGTTTAGTCTGCAGAGGAAGAGCGAGGCCAAGGGAAAAGACCCCGACCACAGGCAGTCACATAAGGGACGTGCCCACTCCCTACCTGTGCCCCCAAGTGGCGCGATCGCAGAGGAAAGCGCGGGCTGGTGAGCCCGAGGACCACGCCCCTCCCTTAAAGGTACAAATCAAGACTGTTCTGGGTGGGGTACTTGGGAGCAGTAGATGGAATCCGGCTTGACTGTGAGATGGGCTTTTAAATTCAGGCAGTTTCAAATCTTAAGATCTGGAATGAACAGCTTTAATAACGGAGTGACTCAAAAGTTAGGAACTCGGACTGCAACAGCTTGGGGGAGCCTGCCCTCTAGCGGGGGAGGAGAGGTTGCACGGGTTGGGTTGGTCTGCCCTTCTCCCCGCAGCCCCAGGGCATGTTACCCTCCAGGGCTCTTGGAGGTAACTCCAGTCAAGTTCAGGGTCTACAACTGCAAGGAGGGCACTGGATGCATGCCTCGAGTTTGCGTGGTGCCACGCAAGTTGAAGGTGTGGCAGCCACCTGGGGGAGCCTTCTCTGGGTACTGGGAGGCTGGGGCCTTCTAAGCAAAGTCACCTGCCTGGTGCAGGATTTAGGGCACCAGGTGAGCTGGTTCTCTACCTTAGGAAAGCGCCTTGGGCTAACACTGTGCAGAGAGAGCTCTGACCAGCACAAGAAAATCAGAGGCCTGGGTAGTGTGCCTCCCAAGCTAGTAACCTGAGCCCTTGCCCCAGCAGGTTTGACAGCTCAGGAGTTGGTAGGGGGTAAGTGTAAATGTGTGTGTGACTGACAAGCAGATCGTTCTGGTCTAATGCTCTTGGCAGGAGCAGCCTTGTGGGGAAGGATTGAAAGAACACAAACATGAGCCCTTCCCCCAATCTCCTCTCCCTTCAAGCTCTGCCTCCAGAATACCCAATCCTCTGCCCACAGAACTTAGCAGATGAGCCTGTTCCCAAGGAAAGGCAAAGGCAAAGGCACCCTCAGGCCAGCCTTGGTAGCAGTCCCTCAGGTCTGACCTGATCTTGCTGACGACTTGTCCTGCCCTTGGATGCAGAGGTTCATCTGATAGCATCACCTCTGGGACCCTGGCATCTCAAACCCCTGCTCAAGAAAACACAGCTTCAGGCCGAAGGATGGGGCTGCAGAAAAAGGGGATTCGTGGTGGGTTTTCAGTTAGGAAAGTGTCTGGCACTAACTCTTGCCTCTTGAGTTCTGAAGGTTCACACCTCCTGGCTCTCCTTTCTCCCTGGTCACTCTTTCTCAATGTCCCTCATTGTCTCCTTCTCCTTTCCTCCCATTTCTTCTAAGTAAGGGTTAGGGATTTTTCCCCTAAGCAAAATGGGAGTTTGTGTGACTCATTCCAGACCATTCTCTCTGTACAGTCTGTGCAGGGGACTCATCCTTTCTCATTCTCTGAAGTATCTCTACGTACTAGTGACCCTTAAATTCATGATCTCTAGCCCCAAACTCTCGTCTTTTATATTCACCTGACTACTCTAGACCTTTGTTTCTCATGAGCACCTCAAACTCAATATCCTTTAAACTGAACTTGTACTTGTCCTCTAATAAATCCTACTGATTCTAGTCCCAAAATATATATCAAATGTATTTATCTTTTCTCCATCTCTTCTACTTCCTCCCTCACCTAAACCAACAATATTCCTCCCACTAAACTGGCCCTGCCCACTTCTTTCCTGACACTGTCTCTTAAATTGACCCTAAATTCATTGTTACTACAACAACCTGAGCGATCTGGTTAAACTACTAATCAAATCATTTTAGTTTCCTAAACCCCTCAATGGCTGCTTATTGTTTTCAGAATGAAAGCTAATACTATGGTTGCCTATGAGTCCCTTAGAAACCTGGACTGTTATCTACTTGGCCCTTAGCAATCCACCTGTATTAACTTGTAGTGCTGCTCAGCCATGTTTCTATTTCTTCTGTCCTTCCAAGCACATGGGATGACTATACTTCCTCATACAGACATGACTGTTTAGGAGAATGAAATGTGAGCAAAAGTGATTTGAGATCCAGTATATAACTTTTAATGCACTTTCTCCTCCTGCTATGCTGATTAGGGAAATCATTGAGATGGTGGTGCCAGAAGAGTGGAGATAAAATGTGGAAATGTGAGTTGCTGATAACACTGTACATGGAGAAAAGCTGCCCTAGAAGTTTGCCCACTGCATATAGTAGACTTTTCATAAGTGAAAAATATTGTGAGATTTGGGGTTGCTTGTTACTGAAGCAAAACATAGCCTGTCCTGATTGATACATTGCCTTAGCATCTGTTCCTGCCCTTGTTTACTGTACTAGAATCACACCAGCCTTCTTTCAGCTCCTCAAACAAAGCAGGATTTTTTGTCCTTCAGGGTCATTACACATCCTGTTCTTTCTCCTTAGAATGATCTTACTTCTACTAGTTGTTCCACTTTTTACTCCTAACCGAGAATTCATTAAAGAAAAAATAATCAAATCCTGAAAGAATCTATAAATTAAGGAGAATAGAGAGATTGGTGCCATTGATCAGGAGGGTAAGAAGGGACATGGTTCTGATTTTCTAACTCATTCATTTGAACATTTACCAAACACCCTCTCCATGTGCTGGAGCAATAAGAAAAATGAGGCATTCTTCTTGACCTAAAGGAGCTCACAGACTTCTATGAGCTAGGACATCCCAAAACTATAGGAGGAATGGGGGAGGAAGACACAGGAAGTCAATGCTAATTGTCACAAATGCTGAAGAAGTAAAAGAGAAGAAAAATTTTAAAGAAGTCATTGAATTTGGGCAGAAGCTCATGGCTAAAGATCTTCAGAACAGAAGCGTCTGCAGGAGGTTGATGGCTGAGAGAGAAGTGGAGAGGGAGATGTAATGAACTTAAAATAACAACCCCTGCCTCTTATTGAGAATGCCAGGAACTCTTGCACACATCATTTTCTTTCTTTCTTTTTTGGGGGGTACTGGGGATTGAACTCAGGGGTACTTGACCACTGAGCCAAATCCCCAGCCCTATTTTGTATTTTGTTTAGAGACAGGGTCTCACTGAGTTGCTTAGCATCTTGCTTAAGCTGAGGCTGGCTTTGAACTCGTGATTCTCCTTCCTCAGCTTCCCGAGCCGCTGGGATTACAGGCGTGTGCCATCATGCCCAGGTGAGCACATTATTTTCAATCTTTCAAAAGTGGGCATTTTCTCTCTTGTTTTTACAGAAACTGAAACTGAGAGATTTAAGTGGTCCAAATCCTACATCAAGAGCAGCTGGATTAAAACCCAGTGTGCTGACTCCACACCCATGAAGTCTCCATCATCCTGTAGGCAGAACAGAGGTGTCCTGCACGTACTGCCAGACCTGCAGGAGCCTTTGGAACAATGAGGAGAGAAAAATTTAAAAAAAAATAATAATAAACTAAGAGAGGTTGCCTGAGAGACCCTTTTTAAAACAAAAGCAAAGGACAAAGTTTTGTTTTGTTTTTGTTTTTGTTTTAAAAGAAAAACCTGGGCTGGGGCTGTAGCTTAGTGGTAGAGCACTTACCTGGCATGTGTGAGGCACTGAGTTCTATCCTCAGGACCACATAGAAATGAAGAAATAAAATGGGGGCATTCTGTCCATCTACAACTACAAAGAATTTTTAAAAAGAAAGAATGTTTCCTTCATTTTCACTAGAGTATAAGAAACGACTATATCTTACTAATCACAATGAGTCCTCAAATTGGAGTTCATTTCTGGGTCGTCCAGGAGCAGGTGCATAGAGAGAGAATCTGAGAAGAGAGAAAATCACCTTAGGAGTGTTTGAATGTCATTGATGAAGTTAAACAGTGACGATTCACATCACCCACAGCACCTACTTGACTCTTAGGTTTAAAAACACGTATTGGACCTAAAGAAGGACATGAGGGATCCAAGTTAAGCTAAAAATGGGGCAGACTGTGGAAAAGTTTTCCAAGAAAGAGTCTTCATTTTTTTTTGTTGTTTTTTTCTCAGTCTTCTATAACTATATATTTTCAATAATTGGAAGTCTTTAATATGCAGCTAATTTGCAGGGAGAGAAGAGAGAAAGATGAAAAAAGGAAGAGAGGAAAGGATGGAAGGAGATTAGTCTGTGACGAGGCTGGCGTATCTCAGGGACAGGTGACAGATGGCCACCTTTCCTAAGGACCCCTTAAACACACAAAATGGTCAGTTTGGCCCTGATCTGACCCTGTTTACTCAGGGCGACCATATCCTATGGGAGGCTACAAATGAAATTGTGTGGTTGCTACAAATGGGTGTAATGACTTCTAAGTGACACGGCCCCCAAGATATCGCAGTCAGGAAAAGGTTCTGGACGCTCAGACTCTTATTATTCAGAATATATTGCGGGAGGAGTCAGAAAATATTGAAAACAAGATTGTCCATGCCCTTGAGCCCTGGGCAATACTCAGGTACTCCATTGGCTAAAGTCCTCACTCTGTTTCAGAATTCTCCTTTTTCAGGGTGTCCTACTGGATCCCCCAAAGAATGGACATCCAGGGCACCATAGTGAACTCTTCTTACAGAAGCAGATGCTTGATCCAACAGTACTATCTGATCCTAAATGGTGAGCAGTCTGACCTCTTGGTGTTTTGAAGGTCAAGATCATTCATGTTCCCACTATGAAGTTCATTTCCCGCAGTTCTTACATTTGGGATAGTTCCAGCTGTTGCTGGGAGCTAGAGGCTCTGCCTTGCTGGCTTTCTGATGAGACAGATCTGTGTGGCTCAGCAGAAAACTTCAGGTTGGGCCATATAAGCCCAGGTTCCGGGCAGCTTCGGAAATCCTGGGAGTTTTCCTCCGGGGAAACGGATAGTAAGCAGGTCTGCCAGACCTGTGGGAGTCCTTTATGGAAGGAAGAAACCGAACGTCGGTTTTTAAGCTGGGTCCCACGATCTTTGTTGGGGAACCACCCACCTGACATTGACCCTGGGCTGTCTCTGGGAGTTTGGTTCCTTGCAGAGTCGGGTGACTGTTTTCAAACAAGTGTGGGTCTCCTTCTGGTCGGAGCCTTTGGTCAGACCCCACAGGCTGGCCCTTGGGCTTCACTTGGCTGGTTTCATGGTGGAAGGTTTGGACTAAGCGATGCATCTCTAGGTGCGTGTGCCATGGAGACTCGGGATTCTGAAGACAGCTTCGGTCGGCTTCTTCCAGAACCCCCTCCACCTCAGGATCTGCCTCTTCCAGGGAGAGGGAGCTCCTTGGCTCCTTATTGATCCAAACAGGACTGATCATGGATCCAGCAGAATTACGCGTGTGTCCGCCTGAGAAAAGAAGGCGTCAGCAGCGTCATCGAAGGAAGATACACAGGCAGCTCTCTCATTTAGGGGGCTCAGAGCTTTCAGGATAAAGAAAGGCCATACCCAGAATGTCCAGTGCACGGGTGCAGATACACAGAGACACACATGGTCCCCCTTGCTCAGGCACACATGAACCCCCACCCAAGGCACACATACTCACATACAATTACATCGTTATTCAATAAATAGTCATTGAGGACTGAATGTGTGCCAGGCCTCGGTTTTTCTAGGTCCCAGGAATATAGCAGGGAACATTGAGAAAAAAACCCACATCTTCATCTGGATTTGTCCTTGAAAAGCAGAAAGACAATAAGCAAATTAATTATGGAAAAATTCAGGCATAGTGGAGGGTTAAAAATGAAGGGTGTGAGCTCTGGGAAGAGAGATGGGAATCAGCATTTGAGGTCAGAAAAATAGTAGGAGCAAGAGATAACACATATGCTGATGTTATTTGGCTTTGGAGTGTCCTCCAAATGTCCCTGTGTTAGAGGGTTGGCTCCCAACATGTGGTGCTATCGGAAGATGGTGGAATCTTTAAAAGGTGAAGCACTTTTAAAGGAAGGAAGTTGGGCCATTGGGCTGCCCTTGAAGGGACTACTGGGGCAGCAGCCTCTTTCTCTCTTTTGGTTTACCAGCTACCATTAAGTGAGTAATCTTTTCCACCACACCCTTCAATCATGATGTACTATATTGCCACAGGTCCAAAGCAATGACTGTGGATTGAACCGATGAAACTGTGAGCCAAAATAAGTCTTTCCTCCTTTTAAGTTGATTTTTCTCAGGCATTTTGTCATAGTAGCAGCACACTGGCAAACTTGGGCTCTGCTCTAAGACCTCATGCATGACCGCCACTTCATTATATCGCATGCTACCTGTCACGATTACGTAAAGGTTGTAGCACCACAAATTGCTACAAGTGTCCTGAGAGACCCTGACCTGCCTGGGGGACCTGAGCACTCTTTGCATTAACCTGCCATGAAGTATCACATGGTCGTGTTGGAAAAGGAAGCACTGTTACCAAGTGCAGGAGAAAGGACCAGCAGGGAGGGTGGGGCCGGGGAGGGTGGATTCTATGGGAAATGACAAGTATGAGGTATTTTTAATATTTTTGAATCATGCCCTTAAGAAATTGGATTTGTGAGTCTGAGTTGCAGGTGTGTTAAACACGGTTTTCATTGCATGTGGGTGTAATTTAGTAAATGTCTGCTGAATGCCTGAAGGTATACTCCTGGGAGTGCGATAGGGCATTAGAATTTTGCAGCTTATGCCCTGATGAGGTGGGGCCTTTGGCTGTGCCAGTTCCATCCAGATGGATCCCACTGGTTGGCAACAGCCCGAGTAGTGAGAGCTGGGCTCCTTCCGTTCAGAAGTGCCCTATTTGTCTCCCAAACTTTCCTTTGGTGGCCTTTTGGAGAGCCTTCTTTTGAAGGGCACTTCCTGCCCTGGACAATGAGGTCCCTCTGGGCCCTGATTCCTTCTTAGGCTGACTTGACAAAAGGGAGAGCGCTCCAGCTTTGTTCTGCTCTCCTTTCTTTCTCCCCACTGAACTGAACTAATACCTGCAGAAACGCTGAGGGTGTGACTCTGACCTTTCAGAGGCTCTTCCCTCCTCCCTTGTCCTGTTCCACTCTGTTGGAGGATGAAGGGCTGGGATTTGTCAACCACTTACTTTCTGAGCCTCTGTGTCCTTAACTTCATCCTGGAATGAAATCTGAGTTCCTAAAGGGGCTGGGGAGGGGGCTTTGTGCCTGATCATACTGCCCTGGCTGCTGTTTGAGGCTAGAAGAGCCTGGGGGTGCTTCATGGACCCCGAGTCCTGTACTTCCTCTGGCCCAGGATTGTGGGAATACCATGTCTTCTTTCTCCAGAGCCAGTTTCTTGGGTCTGCAGTTGGTACCTCTGTTAAATCCAGGCAGGAAGCAGAGTGTCTGTCACCCCAGCTGGCTGAGCAAGGGGACACACCTGGTTCACCAGGCTGACCAGTCTAGCAAGCTCAGTACCCAGGTGCACAGGCCAGGAACTGCTCTACTGGTCAGATGCCTGGCTGAGGCCCTTGGCTTACTTGGCCTGGGGGAAGATGGTGTGGAGCTGTCCTGCTCAGGTCTCCCCTGATCTGGGTCTGACTCTGCTGTTCTCCAGTGAGAGACTGGCAGCGCATGGCCCTGCCCTCCATTTTGCCCACAGACAAGTCCTCCTCCCCCAGCACTTGCCCAGCTTTACCTTTGGGGAGCACCAGGAGGTGGATCTGGGTCCTCTGCTGCCTCTTCAGGCCTTCATACTGGGCTCGCAGGAGCTGGATGCTGACAGGGGGTCCTTGCCCCGGGGCCTGAGTGCAGGAGGAGCCTTCAGCCATGAAGCAGGACCCCGGGTGCCCAAAGCTGAGCAGGGCAGGCCACGGGCAGGCCAATCCCTTCATCCGGATCCGGGAGAAAAACAAACACTGTGGGGTGAGGCAGGGGGAAGGGGAGGGGGAGAGAGGGAGGGGGATAGGCAGAGGGGGGCGGTGGGTGCAAAGGGAGGGTGAAGAGCAGAGCAGGAAGTGAGGAGAGAATGTGGAAGAAGAAAGGGGAGGAGAGAAATGAAGGGAAGGAAAAGGTAGAGAGGGGGAAAAACTGAAGGGAGGGGACAAGGAGGGAGGTTGGAGGTGGGAAGAAAGAGGAGAAAGAGAAGTCCTAGTGAGAAGGAAGATTTGGAGAGGGGACAAGGAAAGGGGAGGAGGAAGGAGGTGATGGTGACCAGGAGGGATTGATGGGGCGAGAGAAGAGCAGGAAGATGGTGCAGGCAGGAAGCAGGGACGAGGGGTGGGGGATGAAGGGAAAGGCAGGCACAGCTGCTGGAGTCCTCTGTGAGGCCCAGGAGGTCTCTTACTCCAAGTCCTCCACTGCTTGATCCTGAAGTTTAGAATCCAATTCCAAGAGCTATAGGGAGCTCCCCCATTTCCTGCAGTGCTGGAGCCCGAACTGAGGAACGCAGGTGCCTGCCCAGCTCACACACCTCGGGCTGGACACAGGTTTTGTTGGCTCATCAAAACCTGCTGGCTTCGTTTGCAGCTGTCAAAAGCAACACCACACCAGGCGCAATGGTGCACTCCTGTAATCCCAGCTGCTCTGGAGGCTGAGGCCGGAGGATGGGGAGTTCGAAGCCAGCCTCAGCAACATCGAGGCGCTAAGCAACTCAGGGAGACCCTGTCTCTAAATAAAATACAAAATAGGGCTGAGGATGTGGCTCAGTGGTCGAGTGACTCTGAGTTCAGTCCCCGGTACCAAAAATAAATAAATAAATAAAAATTAAAAATAACAAAGCAACTCGGCAGCAGCCCCACAGAGCTAGTGCTGGAGATGCTGCACTGTGGCTGTGTATTAGGGGAATTCACAGCAAAGACCAACGTAAGATCTCATGTCAGATCCTGACACACACCCTGGGCAAAAGCCCAGCCCCAAAGTCTGCCAAGGGACAGAGCCCAGGGGAGCCCTGGCCTTGAGCCCGCCCCACCCCTTTGTCATTCGATGCAGCCTCTGTGGTCTTGGTCTTTGCCAACCAAGCAGTACATTGGTGTTTCTCTCACTCACAGCCAGGTGCCACCTCACGCTCTGCTTGCCAGCTCCACCATCCCTACATCCTCTTCGAATGCCAGATGGCCCCTCTGTGTTACCTCAGCTGTGACCTTTCCTGTTCCACTTGGTCAACTAAGTCCTTTTCTGTCTTCTTCTAATATGATGCTCACAGATTGCCAGTTACCCAATATCCTTGCAGAGACAAGGCAAAGGGAACAGGACACTTTCCTGTTCAGAGATGAGACAGACAGGATCCAGCAGGGACCGGGGAGATGGAGGGCAAATCTTCATTGGATGACATATTTGTTTCCTGGGGCTGTCATAACAAAGGCCCACAACCTGGGTGGCTTTAGCAATAGATTTTTCTTTTTGTCCCCCAGTTCTGGAGGCTGCAAGTCTAAGATCAAGGCGTCGGCAGGTTCAGTTCCTTCTGGGGGCTTGGAGGGAGACTCTGTTCTGTGTCTCCTACTTCAGGTGGTGGACTGCCAGTCCTTGGGGCTGTTGACTTATAAAAGAGTCACCTGATCTTTGTCTTCACATGATGTTCTCCCTGCGTGTCTTAGTGTCCCAATTTCTTCTTTTTTATAAGGTCACCAGTCATTGGATTAGGGCCCAGCTTAATGACCTCATCTTAACTTAGAACTAATGAAATTTACAATGAACTTATTTCCAAATAAGGTCATGCCGTGAGATTCCAGGAGGACACGGGAACCAGGAGGACACAATTTGGCTCATGTTAGGTAGAAGGATGACAGTCCCTTCACGGAGATAGGCTCAGGGGAGGAGCAGGTTAGGGGAAGCAAGAAGAAGGGGATTTGTTTTAGATGGTATATTTGAGGTGCCTATGGTCATCTGGAGGGTGTTGGACACTTGATAGAAAGACCTGAGCTGGAAATGCAGATGTCATTATTTGTGAAAATGTGGCAAAACTTCTACCATGAGTCAGGTACACATAAAATCAAGATATGGGTTCTTTCCTTTTTTTCTTTTTGATGTGCCAACTGAAGGCTGGGAATTGGATGAGGTTTTTAAACTGAGGATATTTTAAGAGACCACATGCTGGAGAAGACCAGTATTAAAGAAGTAAGAAGGAAAAGTTGGAAACTAAAAAAAAGTGTAGCACAATGATAGGAGAAACAGTGAGGAGGAGCTTCCCAGACTATAAAAGTGGTCAGAATGGCCCAGGACGTTCTCCTGGTCTCCATACCTGCCCTATGGAAGAGCATCTGAGCTCTTTGTGTGCATGGTTCGTTATCCGCCTGGCTACATGGTAAAAACTCCACTGCTCAACTGCCTCCTCTGAATATTCTGATTCAATTAGTCCGAGGGGAGAATATTGGAAGAATTCAATTAGTCTGAGAGGAGAATGTTAGTATATTTTTTTTTGGGGGGGGAGGGTACTGGGGATTGTACTCAGGGGCACTTGACCCCTGAGCCACATCCCCAGCCCTATTTTGTATTTTATTTAGAGACAGGGTCTCACTGAGTTGCTTAGTGCCTCACCATTGCTGAGGCTGGCTTTGAACTTGCAATCCTCCTGTCTCAGCCTCCACAGCCTCTGAGATCACAGGCATGCGCCACTGTGCCTGGCTGGAAGATTGGTATATTTCTAAAGTTCTCCACTGCCCTACTTTTCTGGTTCCCTAGGTCTATATTTACCCATTTTTTTTTCTGGGTTCCTGGGTCCCTGGATAAGGAATAGGTAGTGGGAGATGGCCAAAGCTGCTTCATCTCTTTTTATCACTGGGTCTCTCCACCTGAACATGGGACCTTTCCCTGCTGGTCCAGCTGCACCTGCCGTAAAATTGGGCTCAATTTCTACTGTACTTTAGCATTTTCTGTCAGCACTTATCTTTTGGTATTAACAGTTTTTGTCTTTTCATTGTGTTTGTCATTTCCATGAGAATTAGGTAGAGGCTGCTATTCTAATATTATCATTACCATTTTGCAGTGCTGCGGATCAAATGTAGGGCCTTGTACCTCTTAGGCAAATGTTCTACCACTGAAGGACATTCACAAGTTCCTTTTTTTTTAGTTCATATGGTTTCTCTGTTTTAATATCAATATCTTTAATCCATTTGAAATTGATTTTATTGGTAGAGTGTTAGGTATAAGTCAAGAATTTAGCTCTTCTTTTCCTTCAAATAATCATCAATTGTCATAATACCACTTATTGAATAAGCCTTCCTTTCCTTGTCCTTTGTGATAACAGTAATGATAGTGTGAGAGGGGAAATGGCAATGGTATCCTATCCTGAAGAGTCTTTAGAAATAATTTAGAAATATGATTGAGGTTGGAGCCCTTGCTGGAAAATGACAGTGACCACTGCCACCACAGGGTGGTAGACCCCCCCCCCGTAGACCCCCCAGGGAAGCAGGAAGTAAACTCCAAGGATGCTCAGGGTTCAAGATTTTGGAGTAGGAATGAAATACTGTGTTATTTGAGGAAATCTTTTCTTTCTATATGTATTTATATTTTGCCTGCTACATGATGTCTGATTGAAAAAGAGTCACGCGCTTCATCTAGCAGGTTGGCTCATGAAAGGGACCCACTCTTCCCGTGGCTCTTGCTGGAGCTTATGGTAGTGCAAATTGGACCTAGAGGACCCAAGACCACTGGGTGCAAGGGATCCAGCTGCTCCATGAACCCTGGGTGGTGACAGAGGCCATTCACCCCTGGGGCACCACTCCTGAGACAGCACTTTCACTGGAGACCCTGCAACACAAAGGTCAGCGTTGGTGGGTGGAGATTCAGAGACTCGGAAGAGAAAACCCTCAGGGGAGTTGGTTTGAGAGCCAAAATTTTGGAGGGCCAGGTGATCAGTGGGGGGCAGGCAGGAGAGAGTCCTGCCCTTGTGAAGGACTTCAGCTTGGGTTTCTTTTTACTGGTGACTCCAGGAGTGCGTAAGTTTCTTGGATTCTTGGCTTTTCCTCTTCCTACAGTAATTTCATTCTGAGGTAACCCCACCCCTACAGGTAGTGAGGTAGGCTTAGACAAACCCACAGGGCAGGTTGGTAAGGAAAGGAAGTCTTCTCTCTGGTTCCAGGGAAGGGGACCTCATCCTGTGGAGTGGACTGTAATTTGGGGGTCTGTGTGGTAACGGGCAGTGTCCACAGGAGAGCCAGGTGCGAAGGAGAAGGACTCGGTATCAAGAAGTGTTCCAGGTCAAACTTATAAAATCCAAGTTCTCAGTCTTACAGAGTAAGGGAGATTCCTCTGAAAAAGGAGAAAGTAGACAAGACATACGAAAACAGTTACATTTCCTGAGCCCAAACTGCAATGGACCAAGTAGGTACTAATCGCTCTGTGCATATTCAAAAATTTTTATTATGATAAAATATGCATAACCCCAAATTTACTCTAAACTGTTTTTAAGTGTACAATTCAGTGGCACTAAGTATATTCACAATGTTGTGCAACAATCACCACTATCCATTTCCAGAGCATTTTCAACAATCCCAGATGGAAATTCTACACTCATTAACTAATAGACTTCCCCATTACCATTTCAATCAAGGCCTGCTAACCTCTGGTATACTTTCTGTATCTACAATTTTGTCTATTTTAGGGACTTCATATGGGAAGAATCATTCAGTGTTTGTTTTAGTGTGTGTGTGTGTGTGTGTGTGTGTGTGTGTGGTGTTTGGATTATTTCACTTAGCGTGATGTCTTCGAGGTCCATACATGTTGTAGCGTGTATCATAATTTCATTCCTTTTCACAGTGGGATAATTTCCCATTGTAAGGACATATCACATTTTATTTGTCTATTCATCTGTGGATGACTAAGTTGCTTCTACCTTTTTGGTATGTGAATGCTGCTATGAAGATTGGTGTCTGCTTATTTATTTGAGCCCCTCATTTCAATTTGGTTGGAAGTCCTGGATCATGGTGCTGTA